AATAATAATAATAATAATAATAATAATAATAATAATAATAATAATAATCTTCTTCTTCTTCTTCTTCTTCTTCATTATCATCATCATCATCATCATCATCATCATCATCATCATGCCAAATCCAGTCTAAACATCTGGCTGACTGTGCGACCAACCAACCAGAATAATACTAATAAATAATAATATGCAGTAATTGAATGCCACTGTGTTTTGAGAAACTCTTCCAACTGCAGTCACATGGAAGGAACCCTTATCTTTCCTGGAGCTTCCTGGATGTGAAAAAAGAGCTGGTTCACTAAGTTACATCCCCTTGTAGAACCCAGCTGTCTGACTGGGTCTTCCAACTTTTTCTTCTCTCAGATGGTGGGAAGTTAATGTTGCTGTGGCAGAAAGAGAATGCTGTGTCGATCTGGGGGATTTTTCCAGAATGGCTCCCGATAGGTAGGCACCAGTGATGTTGCCATGACCATGGGGACCCGGGTATCATTTCCCCCCTGTTGTCTGCTGCTTGGAAGAGTGTTTCCCCCACTCTTTGCTTTCTGAGCGGCGTGAAAACAGAATTTGATCTGCATGGTACTAGCCCACATTGCATCCCAATCCAGTTGATCACCGGCTGCTGTGACACGTGCCCTTGCTTTCAGCTCCTTCCAAAACACTTATCAGATCTATCCTTCTAACTAACCACAAATGTCATTTCATCTCTTGTAAGGAGGAACGCATTCCTACACAAATTACATGTCGTACAAGCATTTACATTGCAAACATTTTCTGAGTGGAGTATATAAACGGCCCTTTAAGAAAAACAACAATGCTAGTTGCTTCTCTGTGGAAGATATTGGAGAACACTGATCTGACCCACCCAGCTGTCCTGGAGACACTGAAAGAGGGAAAGGAACAGTGGAACAATGGGGCAATTGTGGACATTTCCAATGGTTCTGCTTCTGCTGCTGGGTCTTTTAGTTGTGTACTTTCTGAAACAATTCTGGTTGCGCAGAAAATATCCTCCTGGACCTTTTCCACTTCCTTTAATTGGAGTCAGCTGGCAGACTGGTTTTAGACTTACTCCTGATATTCTAATTCAGGTACCTTTTCACTGTATATTTTATTTCTTGCTTATGAAGCATATTGAAGAGCACTGCAGTCATTTGATTTCCGTGGTAGTGATGGAGAAAGATGTTATATCTGTAAAATATGGAGAATGAATAGATAATATTTAGGGGAGTTGAGAATTTGTTTAGCGGAGAAATTGATAATTATACAGGTAGTCCTCATTTAGCGACCACAACTGAGAGCAGTTGCTAATTGAACCTGCAACTGTGCTCATGATCTTACTTCAGCTTTACTGTGTTATACAGACCTGTGAAGGTCATAAATGTGAGGATTGGCCATAAAGTTACTTTTCCATCACTGTCTTAACTGTGAACAGTCGCTAAGTGAGGCAGTTGCTAAATGAGGACTACCTGTATATATGATCAGGAAAACTTGTCTCTCTCTCTGTCTCTCTGGAAAGAAGTCTTGCTGTCCCTACAATTATGAGTTCAAAAGAATGCCAGTTTTCTATTCATTCATTCATTCATTCATTCATTCATTCATTCATTCATTCATTCATTCATGATATTTATATAGAAATATGGAAAGAAGTCTCTTCTCCTTATTTACAGCTCCAGCAATAAGCATTTGTTATATTATGAAAACTGATATTAGGATGACTCCAGCACATGCCAGAGAGGCTGAGCTACCCTTGTGT